GAATTTTTTCCTGGGCAGATTCATTGCGGCCTTGGGCACGAGGATCCCGGTCCACGTGTCGCACCGCATCATCGCCGCCCGGCCGATGATGTATATTTTCCGGCCAATGGAGACCAACCTGAAGTGAGACATCAACGTGAAACCATACCCACTCCCCAGACCACCGTTATCCTCTCCCGACGGCACGAAGGACGAAACCTTCCAGCTGGCGGGTCGCCGCCGCGTCGAAGCGGCGGGTGGCGGTGAAGAGGGCGGAGTTGGAAATGGAAATGCAGAAGAGTGTGTGGAAGACGTTGTGGTGGCGGAGGCGGAGGAGCTGGAATGAGGGGGAGTTGACGAGGTGGGCCCAGCGGCGGCAGACGGCGGGGAGGGAAGGGAGGGTGGAGTACGGCACTCTGGAGAGGCACTCGAGAAGGAGGTCGTCGGGGAGGGAGGAGATCATGGTGGTGGTGGTCCCGGCGGCGGCGGCGGTGATGGAGGAGAGAGGAGAAGGGAGGTGGGGGTGTTGGGGGTTGGTGAAACATGATTTCATCAGCCATGAGAAGTGCCGGGAGGTGCAAGTGTCCGATGCCGACGGTGATGGTGATGCTGATGACATGTCGGAGAATGTGTAGACTCTATATCTAATTATTATTATTTCATAAATATAAACTTTTCATATATTAATTTATCATAAGCTACAAAATGAAATATTATATACAACATTTGAATTGAATGAAATATAGTAGACCACTAGACGATGATAATTGTATTATTGTTGATGGTTTGTATTTCTATTTTTTGTTTTTAATTATTAATTAAATATAGGAATTGGATTGGACTTGGGCCGGGTTTTAAATTGGGCCGGTGTAGATATTCTTAATGAGTTGTCGGCCCATAAGGTGAGAAATATATGACAATTTTTTTTAGGGTAAATTCTACTTTACCCCCTCGTACTCTGCCTGAGAGTCACTTTACACCATCGTACTCTCAATTTTATCGATTTACCCCCTTGTACTCGTACAATTTCCCAATACAGCCATTTCCTTCATTTTTTGTCAATTTAGACTCTAACGCCATTTGGTCAACTCTGTAAATTACAAAATTGTCACTGCCTATAATGCGTCGTTTCTCCTCCGTCAATATTGTCATTTCTTCTTCTCCCACCACTTCCCCTTCCAAGATATCCCCAAATTGAACCCCTAACTTAGTAAAAATAAAGACCCAAAAATTGATCGATTCCACCCAGTGCAAAGAAAAAAATATATGAATGTGTGAAACTTTCTCTTTTCTAATCTCGATAGTCAAAATCGAAAAAATTCAATATTTACGTCAATATTTTGACTCTTGACCAAATGACGTCAGAGTCAAAATCGAAAAAAGTTGATGAAGAGGGTTGTATTGGGAAATTGTACAAGTACAAGGGGGTAATTCGACGAATTAAGAGTCCTAGGGGGCAAAGTAGTTTCTTGGGCCGA